CTTTTGACAATTATCTCATAGAAAAGGGAAATGAAACAAGATGAGTTTGGGGAAGGACAAATAGCAGTGATGGTGTAAAACTAGTAACTGGTGATCTAGAGCAAGGGCATACTACAGAAAATGTTTGATTTGATTGTTAATGAAATAAGGCAATAGTGGTAGTTGGCTAATTTCTTACCTTTGTAGAAGCAGCACACTTGAGAAATATTGTGTCCCCTGTTCATGAGGTAAAAACTGTCTGTCCTGTCCCAAAAGAAAGATTTTTCAAGCCCAGCATGCCTTTTCCAGCACTGGGCAAAAGCAGGTGCTTGGAGGAGTATAAAATCAGAGCAAGCATGTATGGTGCTGTGCTTCCCCCGAGTACCTTCCCACCCTCTAGCCATGTGTGACTCAGAGGCTTCTTGAGCCAGGCATGACATTTGTATTTTGTAGCACACAGTGGATTTCTTTTCCACAATTTTGGGCAGGCTTTCCTAAAGCTTATATAAACGTCTAGCATCCACAGCTTCCCATTGCAGGGAGTCTGGGGCATCCAGAGATAGTCGTGACTGGTCAGGAAGGCTTGGCAAAAGTAGTAATGGTGCGAGAAGACAAAAAAGGTGAAAAGGGGCAAGTTGTGGGACACTTTAATGGTAGCTGAAACAGTTTCACATTGCCCTTGGGGAGCGGACAGGTGTGGGGTGGCTCCCAAGAGGGGACAAGCAATGCAATGAGAGAAGAAATGTAGGTTTAGCTGTTCTGTTTTATACATGTGGTCGTGAGGATGGGCAGCAAGGGACATGATGCTGAGCAAGGCAGGAAAACAGGAATGGTTGGATGAGAGGGTTTTTTCTTTCTATGTAGAGAGAAGTCCGGTCTCAGCAAGTCTCAGCAACGCAGAGGCAGATGTGACGGAACTTGGCCATAGCTGGAATCACAGTAAATCTGATGGTACGGTGTTGTGAGTTTGGTTTTTTAACTGTCGCTGGAACAAATTGAGAGTTACCCAGTTGGCTCTTTGCTTTTCTACTGATCAACAAATCTTACAAGCCCTTTTAACAAACTGTTAGTGATAATCTTGTGGGGCAGGGCCATGTGCAGGTGTTTTATCTAATTCAGTATTATTGTGCCTGGCTTTAGTGTAGCTTTAGCTTGTCTTGCAGCTTCCACTTTACCTCCTGGTGTTTTACTGGATGAAATAAAGCAAGTGTTCTGTTTTAAAAAGGGGGAAAAAAATGTCCTGTATGTGAATTTCTAGTTGAATGCCAACCAAAACAAGCTAAATGAAACAGACTTGTTAAATGAAGAGTTAATGGACTGAGCGTGATCTGTCTCTGAGAAACTTGAAGCAAAGTCATTACACTTTATTATTTTTTCATCGTGTTTGTTTGCTCAGGCTGGGTGTGTGCTTCTACAGTTTTTGTGAGTTCATTAATGGGTTAGCTTTGGCCACTTCTGCAAAACAGAACAGCCATATATGGTATTTGCTAGTTCTGATGCTAAGTAAAAATTATGGAAATAACTTTGAATGTTACCTTCTGTCTCTTGCACACAACTTATAATTATGCAGTTATTTTTGGCAAATACAAAATGTCAGAGAAGGAGGGAGGATCACCATTCATTTCAAATGGAAATGATGCATAGTTTGGGGAGCCTCATTTTTTTGTAATTTATTTAGAACTTTTGCCACGTGTCACTAATATTAATTGAAATAATACCAATAAAACCAGGGCAAATTAAGGCAGAAGACAGTTAAGTGAAGAATTATGTTGTATCAGTGCATGATCATGTATATAATGGCCTAAGACCAGGTAGGGTCACATTCAGACAGCATAAATGATGTTGCTGCTGTTGACTGCAGTTTCACTGTGACCCTTCGTGTAAACTAAGGACCTGCCTCTCTTCTTTTAATAAAGGTTCCATCAATCCTGAAACAGGCTTTCAAAACCAGATTTTCATCCTCTCTGCAAACTGGCCTTTTACAGTAGCTGCCCTGCTTCCCTTCCTGATTCACATGTGCACTTTCCCACTTGTGACTATTTATACCTGAGAGACTTGCCAAGTGTTGGAGGCTCAGGTTGTGTTTCCAATGCAAGGCTAATCCAGTTCCTTGGATTTGCTTCTAGCCCACTTTTTGGTGCACTTCCAGGCCTCGGACGCTAGAACTGCTTTTCTTCTAGTGCGTGGAGACCTGGACGCTGTTCTGGTTGAGTAAAAGCACCCACCTCTGCAGTGAGAAAGATTTATCAAATTTTAGAGGCAGACCAAGTGCTAAGGTTCAGGTGAGAGTCTTCAAGTTCATTCTACAGTGCAGATACAAGCCTTGTTTTAATTCTGAGAGGGTTTATTATTTTCCAAAACGAGAGACATGCTTTCAGAACAAGAGCCGTTAAGGCCGCTTTTTTAATGTTTCCTTCTTATTTTGAATTCCAGCAACCTCTTTTTCTCGAGGGGAATGGTCGTAGTTTGGCAGGACTTGTCAGAAGTTGGATGTATTGGCTTATTAGAGGGAGTACAAGAAGTTGTTCATCTAAGCTAGAGGCTGAACAGGTCAAGAAGAGATAACAAGGAATTATGAATGAGGAGTGGAAAAGGAGCCAGGGAAAAATGCATGGGCATATGTGAGAAGGTAAATTGGTGCCATTGCCATTTGTCAGGAAGACAGGAGGAATGAAGAAGCAGCTACCCTTTCCCTTCTTCCCAACCTAACCTTAGGCAGTAATGTGTGTCTTCTGTCTGTGCTTCAAGTTGAGTTCTCAGTCTATCACAATCTCTGCAGTAGCTGCAGAGGTGTGACCCCAGGTTGTCTTCTGGGTCATGCTAAAGGCCACTCTGAATTTGTTCAGTTGTATATGGGTTGTTGGTCATTTGGGAAGAGAAGGCTTAGGCAGTGAGCATGAATGCGTTCTGCATCCTTTTCTTATACCCTGATGTCTGTGGAAATTGTTGTGCCTCAACCACAGAGTACATCTGGATGAATGGAATTACCAGACATGACTGGAATGAACAAGGTGATTAGCATGAAAATTGGAAATAAAAGTAAGAAGTATTGTCAAAGTAGTGTTCAGAATCACTTAGGAGTACTGTATGAAATAATTTATGGTGTTAAAATCATAAGATTGATGTTTCCAAAGCTGGGGTTTTGGGTGCTATGCTTTCTGCATGCCTAGTTTTGGATGCTTCAGAGAACCCTGATTTTCAGTGTTGGCTGCTCATCCTGCAGGGATCTGTCTTGTGTTGTCCCTCAAGCTGAACATTTAAAGCAACAATTCCCCTAAAGTAGACCAAAACTCTCTTTGTCAAGGTCTACTTCTAATTCTGTGTCTGCATCCCACCTTCTTTTGCACATCCCTGTGGTGTTGTTGAACTATAGGGCACGCAAAAAAAGTGTGGTTTGTACTGAGATTCCAGGACTCCACAAATGGATTGTGTGGGCACAACAGTGAAGTGTGGAGGCACCGCAGAGTATTTCACCTCTTTGGCTTCAAAATCTGCTCTCCCAGTCTACTGATGGGACATATGGTAGATAGCTCTGAGATTTGTTACATTGCACTAACTTCAGCGTCTCCTGCAGAGTCACAGCAGGAAAGGCAGTGAGCAAGATAACTGGATTTGGCCTCTAGACCACCAGTTGGGCCGCTGTTAAATGGCTGGTCACTGTCTCTCCTGAATAGCCAGTCCACCCCAAAATGATCAGCTTAACTGCATCATCTCTCCCTGCTTCATGTATGTTTAACATTCACCTGTGATGCAGATGGATGATAAAGCTCGTGATTTTAAGAAAAGGAGTGTTTCCGTAGTAACCATATGCCCTAATTTTTCTTCAAGATTATGGGGGACCCCCCCACCCCAAAGTACAGGGCACCTTGGTGGAGGGGAAAGTTTTTAATTAAGTAGGTTTTATATATTATTCATAAAAGCCCTCCCTATCTTAGTAGCTGTTTCCAGAACCTAAATGGTTAAAGTAGAAAATGTTAGTAATTTTGCTGCAAATAAATTGATCAGTATGCAAGACGGTTGTCACCGGCTGAATCATGGTCCACAGTTAAGGTAAACAGATCTGTGATGACATTTTCTGAGCAGAATACCAATGCTGCTACATTTCTTCCCAGAGGTTTCTGACACTTCTTATATGCGGATAAAATTTCTCTCCAAGAAGGTTTTGTTCACAGGAAAGAAATAGCATCTTTGTAAGAGTCTTCCTTAAAGGTGGGATTTATTCTATTTCATGATTTATTCGTTATCATAATTCTGTTAAGAGCACGGAAAGGAATGGGTTTGCTTTTCTGCATATCCTCTCTGTACAGTAGATCTTTCTGATGTGGAGTCTATTTAAACTATCTGGCAACAGAATGCAAGTAAAACAGTATTAATGGAGTTATCAGGAACAATGAAAATGTTTTTTTTTTTAATATTCTCTGAGTGTGAGCTCTGTTTTACAGTCTCTGTGGTTAACATTAAAAGCAATGACTACCTATACAGCTAGATTTTTAGCATAGGTGTTTCTGTGAAATATTTTTGTCTACATAATTGCTTCATATTTTCAGTGGCATATTCTAAAGTAAGAGGTAAGATTTAGTTTATTCTTAAATGTCTCTGGGCTAGGAAGAAAATCCCCTTTGCAATTGATTGCAATCAAGACCTTTTTGCTGAGACGAATTTAACTCCCATATGACTTCAGGGTATGGAAAAATACAGTTTCCAAATAAGTTTTTGAAATCTGCTTTCTTAGAACATTTAAAATCTCTGTGTACAATGGTATTCATGGGAGAGGGCATGTTCATAATTCTGTATTTAGCCTTAGACACACATTTACTTGGAGGTGATTGACGTCTCTGTCATTTTATGGATTAGCAGTTGGAAATCTGGTGCATTTGTATTGATAAAAGTAGAATCTAATTCATTTAATCAGGTGCTGGTATCTGAGTTTATTCCCATTTATTAGAGTAGATACTGAAGGATAAGAGAGCCCTGTGGAGAGCGTGCTCGGTAGTACCTGGCATGTAATAGCAAACGTGGAAATGGTCGTTAAAGTTAACATCGGGGATTCAAAGTCTGTTGAAGTTGGCGAAAGCATTTCTCCGGTAGGCTTCAGAGTCGAACCTGGCCTGTCCGTGTCTGGCGTGTGGAGGTGAGGAGAGTATAGCCTGGGTTGCCCGAGTGGCTGAAAATAGTGTGGTTAATAGGACCTTTTGCCCGATGGGCTTACAAAGTCGTGTCATGCACAGCGTCTGGGTGTATTTCAGAGCTTCACAGCAAGGTGTATGGCTGTGGTTTCAGGAGAGAAGCAGAGCAGGAAATGCCATCTCCGGAGCTGGGTGATGCAGACTGTGAGGATACCTGACCAAAGGGCTGCACGGCTCTGGGGAGTGTCTCAGCAAGTCACCAATTTGTGTCAGAGATGAGTTAGCGCTGCATTTCAGGCAGTGGATCTCAAGTGGGGCTTGAGAATTAAAGTTTGGTCTTAAGAGCCATGGTTTAATAATTCTCTGCCGAACAAGAGAAGTCCAGGTTCATCCTGGCATGTTGCACTGTCTAGTAATTCTTGCTGCGATTGTGGTTCACATGCACTTCCAAGATACCCTTGTGCAGCATTTAGCTTGCTTTTTGTGTTTTGCTTTGTGAAGTGCACAGTAGCTGTTTTTTATACAGATCTGTATAACAAAGTTTAGATGAACATGGAATGTATTGGGAATAAATCCCTGTATTTTATCCCTGTATTTTTAGTGTACGTTTGCAGATTGTCTTTTATTTCAAAAAGATCCCTGGACATTTTGGGGGTGACCTACAAGTGGCGCTGTGGAAAATGTAATATCCAGGCTTAGAGGGTTCAGC